TAGGGTTTAGGGTTTAGGGCGCCCCAGACTTCAACCTTACTCCTGCCGTCACAATCACTTTGATAATTACCATCTCGAGCAGCAAAACCCAGTTGAGCGGAAAGCTAAGCCCTCTTTGGTAGGCCCCTCTCAAGGTGAACCATGTCAACGAATGCAAATCCCTTCAAATCCTAGCCGCCAAATCCTAAATCCAAACATCGGGAAGCCCTAACAGGCTTACACCCAGACTCCAAAACTGGCGCCTTGGAGGTTCACCTGTGGAGACGATGACCAACAATTGATCTGCACCCTTTAGGGTTTAGGGCTGAAGCTTTATGACAGTACTGTAGGGGCCNNAGAACAGGGCTTGGGGGTATATTATATATATATATATAATAAGGAACCCCCGGAACCGTATTCTAATTATCAAGACCCGTACATTACATTACTAACCGACAAGACTACGACGTTGCACCCAGAGATTGGAAAATTAATGTCGGATGCTGAGACACTCTAGATCCACTGTTTTCCCGTCCTCATCGATGATGTGAAGCGTTCCCTATTCCACTACTACGACAGAACCCCTAAACCCGCAATCCTACATAAGCCCTAAAAACCATGAACAACATCATAAACCCCATCATAAGTCTGCAAGTCTCGCCTGTGGAGAAGGTGACCCAAATCGCCCGGTTCGTCTCCGACGGGTTCGGGTTCGAGCGTGCCAACAGTGCCTCGGACTTTTTTCGACCCTTTGTAAGGATTTTGGAATGTCGAAACTTCAGAAGGTCTCAAGATTGTGGAAGGTCTCAACATTCTAGAAGATATCAAGACTTTTGAAGTATCGATATTTTCGAAGGAAACAACATTCACAACCAGGGTGTTATAAGGATGTCCTCACCTTTCTATTTACAAAGGTTCTGGTTATAAGGTTCCACGGGATTTGTGAGTCTGTTCTGGGGTTTGTTGGCGTGAAGGTGCACAACTCTGGAGTACGGGGGGCCTTAACTGTTAGCATGGGGTATCAGCATATACTACTGGTATAAGTAATTGCCAGGAACTACTCGAATAACTCTGTAGATACATATCTACACACATAGGCATGTGGGTATATATATATATAATGCACATTTACTGGGAACAGGAAAGGATACTACGAACCTGAAGATGATCCAGACTTGCTACATCAAATTCAGGGTGACGTACTCGGCCCAAAACCCCAAACCCTAAACCTTAAACCCTAAACCTGAAACCTTAAACCCTAAAACCAGGCCCGAGGGGCTCCCCTCCGTGGCGGTTTCACCACGGCCACTCTGGTCCGCCTCGTCCGCGGGAGGGGCCTGGAGCTGGAAAGGAGGCAAGTTCGAAACTTCTCGGCCTAAAAAGATCCAACATGTTTTTTTTTTTTTTTTT